AAAGAGTGCTGTGTTCTAGAAAGACAGTAAATCATATCATGTCCTTGCTAACCGACGATGGAGAATTCTGTGGGTCGGAATTGAGCATCTTTTTTGAGACAGAGTCTCTCTCTGTCACCCAGCCTGGAGTGTAATGGCACGATCTTGGCTCACTGCAGCCTCAACCCCCCAGGTTGAGGTGGGGAGTCTCCCAGTGTACTGGGACTCTAGGCATGAGCCACCGTGCCTGGCCAGAATTGAACATCTTTGTATCTGTCTTCTTAGTTTAGTACAAAACTGAATAATATTTGCAGGCAGCAGAATTGGATCGGGAATTTCTCAAACTGCCAAAGATGAAATTAGAATGAGTGATTTTTGGCTGGCAGCTTGAAGTACATATATATCAGTTTGTGTATGATACGTGTGAGTATATAGTGGTTTTTCCCTCTTCAACTGTCTTTAAATATGTGTGTGTGCGTGAGTGTGTGTACAAACACACATGTAGCTTTAATATCAAAAAGGTTATTTTTGTAGGTCTGTTAGGAGACATGAATATGCTCAAAAGGGAAAAAATCTACATGGATGGGGTGAGAGGAGTTAGCTTTATTTAAGGACATTATAAAAGGCAAAGCCCTTCTGCCTTTCTGGAATGCTGCAATGGAATATAGAAATAATTGTATCATCTCCTGTACTTCTCAGAGCTGGTGTTTGGGTGAGGCTGGCCCTGTGCCAGGTTGCAGGGTTGGGGTAACCTGGGAGCACGCCTGGTAAGGCACACTGCCATTCAGGGCCTGGCCTTGCCCCTGTGCCCCAGCCTCCTGTTCTCCTCTATCAAGCTCTGCCCTCTTCCATTTCTCTGCTGTAATCTGAAATCTCTCAGCCCCACCAGCTTTCTCATTCCATGACTTCATCTGACTTGTCTCTTTCCTCTCTGAATCTGGGCCCTTGTTAAGCCTTTTTTTGTTTTTTCTTTGAGACAGAGTCTCACTCTGTCACCCAGGCTAGAGGGCATTGGTGCGGTCTCAGCTCACTGCAGCCTCTGCCTCCGGGGTTTAAGTGATCCTCCCACCTCAACCTCCTGTGTAGCCTGGACTACAGGCATGCACCACCATGCCCAGCTAATTTTTGTATTTTGAGTAGAGACAGGGTTTCGCCATGCTGGCTAGGCTGGTCTCAAACTCCTGACCTCAGGTAATCCACTTGCCTCAGCCTCCCAAAGTGCTGGCATTACAGGTGTGAGCCACTATGCCCGGCCATAGCTATTCTTCCATACATTCCCTCATGCACCCATTCCCTGTCTTTTGAGTCCCCACTGTGTGCAAGGCCCCGTGGTCGTTTTCCCTGGACCCTGCTGGGATCACACAGTAATCTCTCCTCCATCATTCTTTACACCTTCCACCCTCTTTTCGCTTGTTACCCTTTGTGTTACATTTTGTCCTCTACCTTTCTGAAAAGCACAATGGGATGCAGTGATGTGTTAGCTTCCTGTTGCTGCTATCGCAACCTGCCATGCGCCGAGTGGCTTAAAACAACAGAAATTTATCATCTGACAGTGCTTGAGTTCAGGAGTCCAAAATGGGATTTCCCAGGCTGGAATCAAGGTGTCAGCCAGAATTGTGTTCCTATCAGAAGCTCTGGGGGAGAATCAGTTTCCTGGCAGTTTCCAGCCTCTCGGGCTGTCCGCATTCCTATAGCATTCCGACCTCTGCGTCCGTCCTCAGATCTCCTCTGATTCTGAGCCTCCTGCCTCTCTCTTACTAGGAGCACTGGGATTACACCGGGCCCACCTGGATAATCCGGGATCATCTCCTGACTCATGATCCCTGACATAATCCCATCTGCAAAAGCCCCTTTTACCATCGCAATCTGATGTGTTCACAGGTGCTAGCTATGAGGACGTGGTTATCTCTGTCA